AGGATACTGAGCCGTAATTTACATATTAGAAAAAATAGGACGTTTTTATAAACAAATTCATCTTTATTGGAAAATACCATGAAAAAGAAACAAAATATATATTTGAATTTGATATAATATATTGCTTATTTGTAAAAAGGTTTTGACAATAGTATTGTTTTTATAATATATTACATTTGATACGACCATAACATTATTTACCTACCCTTGGAATACCTAGTATCACATAACATTATACTTTCCCGAAATTCATCAGTTTTAAAATAAATAATTATAACTTATGAATAGCTTTTTCCCTTTTTCTAATTGTTTTAAAGATTATTGTTAAAATTTTCAAAATAATATATATATATATATATATAAGAAGAATGGACGTTGTTGCTGACAAGTACGAAGACAATTTTGGGAATCGATTTGGGGAATGCAGCAAAAATAAAGTGTACTCTTTAAAGTTTATCCGAGCTTTCGATAATGTTTATTATCATCTTCAGGGAACTATGGATCAATATACATGTTAAAGACAATAAGACAATAATATAATGTAACTTACATCTTTGGTGAGATTATTAAAGATAAATGTTGTGTAATTGATCTGTTCCATTAGCATCGAGGACAGTGAGAACTTAATTATTAGTCATTAATACATAATAAGCTTGTTAAAAATTATTGAGAATGGATGAAAGATTGTGTAAATGGGACAATACAACATATTAAAATATTAAATAGTTACAGAGAAAGACTTTTACAATATATCACCCTGGGTTTGAGGATCATCCATCAAATGTGTAATTTGGAATTATTATATTAAAAATAATTTTCTTTTAAATTTAAATGTCAACCAGAACCAGCTGGCCGTCAAGATCACCTGTTGAATTAATGACTTAAGACATATGTCATTGTAAAGTTAGGTTAGGTATACAACGCTATGTTCCATTGAATGAACTGATATACATTCGATGTGACGTCACCAGCAGACCCACTCAACACAGCAAGACGCCAGGAGCAACAGAATAGGATTAATTGAATCATTTGACATAATACTAAAAACCAATAAGCAAATAAATCATAGTAACACATTAAAGAGAATTTTCATTTAAATTGAGGTTAGGCCCTTTGTCTAGGTGTAACAGATAGGAATAAATCTCACTGAGGTGGTTAATATCAGATTTTTTGTTCATACAATTATCACTCTGAGAAATGAAAGCCATCTCTTTGAAGAGTCTCTTTGAGTAGTGGGATTCACTGGTTAAAACTCTCACAGAGTCATAGTCCATTTGGTGCTGGAGTGAATGTACATGATCAGCCAAAGCGCATCTTTCAGGGTGGAGTCTGCTATCGCTTTTATGGGAAACAATCCTGTCTTTCAGTTGCCTAGTTGTCTGGCCAATGTAAGTTTTGTCGCAAGAAGAACATGGAATGCAATACACCACGTCTGATTTTGCGAGAATCGGAACTTTGTCCTTTAGGTTAGAGTGAATGGACTTTATGGGTAAAACTGACCTATTGGCAATTTTAATGTTTGTGAAAGCTTTACTGAAAAAACTAGTCAGCTTGGGTGTAATGTCTCTAATATATGGTAGTGATGTGTACAAAACAAAAGGAACAGTGGCCTCAACAGGGGCCAACCCCAGAGGTGAATCAGCTGCCGTTGCAGGGTTATTCATTTGGGGATTGACTAGGTTGATTATGTTTTGGCCAGTTTGGATGTGGTGTCTCTTTTTAGCAATGTCTATCTACAAGCTTGCCTCAGATCGATCAACAAAAATTGGCACAGAATCGAACTACACACTGGCATCAGCAGGGAGTCTTTCCTGGAGTTGATCACTTTCCTTTTCAACAGTACATATTTTGCATTTGATGGCAGATTCTATAAACAAACTTTTGGTACTCCTATGGGTGCTTCAATTTCTCCAATTTTAGCGAATTATGTCATGGACGACCTGCTGGACACTGTCATTCCCACTCTCTCTTTTAACTTACATTTCATTAAAAAATATGTTGATGACATAATCCTAGCACTTCCTAGAGATAAGGTCACAGAGATAATGGTCGCCATGAACAGTTTTGATCAACATATACAATTCACAATGGAGAATGAGGATGAGGGTAATTCTGTCCCGTTCCTGGATACGAAATTCATCAGGAACTCTAACAACTCCGTCTCAATTGATTGGTACCGTAAACCTTGTAGCTCAGGAAGATTCATTAACTATCTGTCTTACCATAAACAATCAATGAAAATTAATTTGGTCAAACAAATGAAGAATAGAGTTCAAAGAATCTCAGACACAACTTTTCACAACAAGAATTTCAACATTCTGTTCCAGATTTTCAAGGACAACTCTTACCCTACTCCACTCTTAAAAAAGATTCTGTTTAGCACATCAAGGTCCACAGAAGTGTTACAATCACACACTAGCCATAACAACCTAGTCAATCCCCAAATGAATAACCCTGCAACGGCAGCTGATTCACCTCTGGGGTTGGCCCCTGTTGAGGCCACTGTTCCTTTTGTTTTGTACACATCACTACCATATATTAGAGACATTACACCCAAGCTGACTAGTTTTTTCAGTAAAGCTTTCACAAACATTAAAATTGCCAATAGGTCAGTTTTACCCATAAAGTCCATTCACTCTAACCTAAAGGACAAAGTTCCGATTCTCGCAAAATCAGACGTGGTGTATTGCATTCCATGTTCTTCTTGCGACAAAACTTACATTGGCCAGACAACTAGGCAACTGAAAGACAGGATTGTTTCCCATAAAAGCGATAGCAGACTCCACCCTGAAAGATGCGCTTTGGCTGATCATGTACATTCACTCCAGCACCAAATGGACTATGACTCTGTGAGAGTTTTAACCAGTGAATCCCACTACTCAAAGAGACTCTTCAAAGAGATGGCTTTCATTTCTCAGAGTGATAATTGTATGAACAAAAAATCTGATATTAACCACCTCAGTGAGATTTATTCCTATCTGTTACACCTAGACAAAGGGCCTAACCTCAATTTAAATGAAAATTCTCTTTAATGTGTTACTATGATTTATTTGCTTATTGGTTTTTAGTATTATGTCAAATGATTCAATTAATCCTATTCTGTTGCTCCTGGCGTCTTGCTGTGTTGAGTGGGTCTGCTGGTGACGTCACATCGAATGTATATTAGTTCATTCAATGGAACATAGCGTTGTATACCTAACCTAACTTTACAATGACATATGTCTTAAGTCATTAATTCAACAGGTGATCTTGACGGCCAGCTGGTTCTGGTTGACATTTAAATTTAAAAGAAAATTATTTTTAATATAATAATTCCAAATTACACATTTGATGGATGATCCTCAAACCCAGGGTGATATATTGTAAAAGTCTTTCTCTGTAACTATTTAATATTTTAATATGTTGTATTGTCCCATTTACACAATCTTTCATCCATTCTCAATAATTTTTAACAAGCTTATTATGTATTAATGACTAATAATTAAGTTCTCACTGTCCTCGATGCTAATGGAACAGATCAATTACACAACATTTATCTTTAATAATCTCACCAAAGATGTAAGTTACATTATATTATTGTCTTATTGTCTTTAACATGTATATTGATCCATAGTTCCCTGAAGATGATAATAAACATTATCGAAAGCTCGGATAAACTTTAAAGAGTACACTTTATTTTTGCTGCATTCCCCAATATATATATATATATATATATATATATATATATATATATATATATATATATATATATATATATATATATATATATACAAAAACTACAATAATTAATTAACAATCTAATATCTATTTACTTAAATGAAACTCCTGAAAGTTTTTCAGAAATATAACATATATGTTTGCAAATACTTTCATTATTTTAATTTTTTATCCACTAGAAATTAACTAGGTTGCAGTATATTGAAGATACAATGTTAGAGTAGAAATCAAACGAGAAGAAGCCACGCGCGTTATCGTTTGTCTCACTTTAAATGGGAGGGACCCAGAGAAAAGGAAATCTACTTTCTTTGTCAGCGCTAACGACAGTGGCTTCTTCTCATTTGATTTTTACTCTATATGCCATTCGGTTCAGAAGGTCTAATACTGTTTGGCTCAGATAATATAACTAGTTTATGGCTTTCTTGTTACTGTATACAAAATAGACAGTAGTGTACAACAAGAACAAAAAGTTCTAGCTGCTGAATAACCTTTATTGTTATCTAAACTGCTAGACAATTGCTTTCGAGCAAGGGATTTTTTTGCCTAACTTTCAAGCACAATATTCTTGGGACCAGACCAAATATCCACCTCCGGTTTTCACGGACGGACAGATTGTTTTTTTTTTTGAAAAAAATTGCTATATGGAAATGTTGGTAAATATTTTGATTCCAAAAATATCAGGCTTGAAAGTTAGGCAAAATTTTCCTTTTGCTCAAAAGCAATTGTCCAGCAGTTTATATTAATTTTCAGTTTGTACATAAAATCCCAAAAAGCTATGTCCAAAAAGCTTTTCGAGATTAGGTAGGTAGATTATATTTATGAGTGTTTAATAAGCCTACCCCACTAAATTGTAAGATATAAAAAAAACTATAAAATTGACTTTTAATTATGTGACATCCTCGGTGACATCCACATCTTTCAGATGTTCATCATACCTTTGTGTCAATTTTTGGTACATTTCTAAACAAAAAGTTGGGTCGAATAGGATTTTATCACATACAATTTGTTGTGTTTTTGCTATAAAAACAACAAAATATGCCCATGATAATCCAGTTATCAGCATTTGCCCCTGAATTTGATAAAAATAATGATGGTTCGTTTTTAATCTCAATTCCTTATTTTGGTCGTAACTCATACAGAAGGTTTTCAATCGGGTGTACTCCTCCAAACTATTTGCCTTACCACTACAAGGACATTTCACTTCCAAAACACCAAAGCTGGAAGAGTGTCATATAAGATGCCATCAGGGCTTGCACCTAAATGGATAGCATATGGGTGCACTATCAAACCACATTTGTAGTGAGTGTATGTACTTTCAAAAATGCATTTATTGCTAATTTTTCACTTTTCACTCCATGAGCCACAGCTTTGATATGGCTTATATCAGGAGGGCACACAAATTGTTTAATAAATTCACTATTGAATAATTTTCTTTTACATACATAACCAAATTTAGAAGCTGTAAAACGAAATTTTCTGAGAGTTTTCCAAAGATCATTCCGGTTCTGTTGCCTCGTATCTTTTTCTATTTTGGCAGCTTGCTCCATGGTAAGTGTATCTAATGAGGCATGGTGAACTGGCGCAACACTTATCAAAATATCCACCATTTCTTTTGTGTCCAATGGCAAGGCTAAAGGTAGTCCTTCCACTTCTTCCACGTGTTCCTCTGCGAGTCCTATCGCAGAAACAGCGTTTCTTTTTACACGTGCCATATGACCCAATAGTGACGACGCTGGCACAGGTATACCTATGGGTTGAAAAAATCAGTATAAGGAAATAATAATGTTAACAAAAGCTGGTACATACCATCCTGTATAAATATTCTATTTTGAGCAGTCATTCATACTTTGGGTACAAAGTGTGCTTGCGAATGGTATCGATGGATTGATACTATTTAATGTAGTTTTTAATCGAGCAACACTTGATTGTGTGATTTTCTCCAACTTGCTGTTTCTTATGGGGCTTTTTATCCGACAAACTACAGGTGCTTTTTTCCTTTCGATGTTGGTTGAATCAATGAATACACTATTGGGAATTTGTTCTGGCAGAATTTTTGTTCCTCTTGGTTTATTCCACTCCATCGGGATTGAGGTGCATGAGGCAGTTCCAGGAACTTGCTTAAGCCCATTTAAAATCAAATGTTGAAGGTAGTATGCCAGTCCAACGAGGTGATTGCAGGATTGTGAGTTTCTAGAAAATACCATTATTCCAACAACACTGCTAATATATGCAAAACATAGTTTTCTTACCCAGCTTCACATGTACAGTGACCTTCAATCATAACATCTATTGATGGTGAATGAAGTCTATGAGGGATTTCATTTTTTTTTTGGCTTCTGAAACACTTTGCTTTGATGATGCACTCACTTTTATTTGTGAAAACTTCCTGGATATACCCTTCAGCAAAAAATCGATAGCCACGATCACGTTGCCTATTCGTCCATGATTGCTTTTTGAAGAAGGCTTCAGCGATCCCAAAATGGAAGTTTTTGAAAGACAAAAGGTCTCTCGACCACACGCTTCTTTCAGTATCACTCATCATATAAGCAAAGCTCACTAAAATTCACAGTTTTTACACTCTCACACCACAATAACAATACAAATAAATCTCTCTCCAAATATATAAACCTGTAAACATGAAGTCAGAAGGACAAATGACATAACCACAAAAAAATAATAATCCAAAAATACAACAAACGATTACGTTCTTTTCGGAAGAAGAGCAGTTCGTTAGGTGACTATCGGACTATTTTCATCTCTTTTCATTTGACGTCATTGGTATGTTCCACCAACATTTGCGCAGGTTTTGAATCGATCCCCGTTGCGCATGAAAAATAATGGTTACTCTTTCTAGCAACCTCAAATTGCTATTTACATCTTTGTTTGACACAAACTAAATAGGTCTATTGATATCTCGAAAACTGTTGGGTATTTTACATTAGCGCAATGATCACTTTTGTTAAGGACGACTCCCTATACACAATATCAAAAATTCAGCAAAATTCCACATAGATCACTTTTCCATAAGAAATATGTCACATATAGTCACCTATATATCTCTTGTAAGATTTGGATGTTTCACCCGTTTTGGTTAGTTTCTACGAGCCAGAAATCAGAAAACTCGCTATTCAAATACTCATTTGGAAGACTAAATTACAGGACAAAAAAAAGAAACGGGTTGGACCAGGTGCGAATGAATTTGCCAGGGTTCAAAGATTCTATTCATTTTCTAGTTGCAACAAAATGTACCTTAGCCAATCAATTTAGTTTCTAGAGCTTGAAGTATTACACGGCCCAAGAAATTTAGTTTCTAGAATTTGAATTATTATACGGTAGCCTGGTCGAATGAAAATAATTTATTGAAAAAAAAAAAAAAAATTGGACATATTTATTTATAAAAAAATAGCTATCAACTGATCATATAATCGTGTTATATCTAGCTAAAAAAAAAAAATCACAATCAAGAAAAATCAAGGAAAAATTGAAATAATTGGTACAAACATATGAAAAGTGGAAAAATGCAAAATCACGTTAAAAACCTGATGAATTGGAAGTTGCCTGTTCACCAGTGATGCTGTCTTCGTCGTCTTGATTCATATTTTTCGATAATTCTAATGGAGATATTGGGCACTTTTACGGCAACGTGTCTGAATCGATGCTTCCTGATATAGTTATTTTCCTAACTAGTGCGCAAAGTGATACTTTCCCGCACGAAAAAGCAGTTAGACGAACGACGCGAAGCGGAGTTCGGATAAGCTTTGAGTGCGGGAAAGACACTGCGCAAGTGTTAGGAACAATATTTTTTCTACGAGTATCTTAAAAAAGTAAACTTTGAATTGTTAAAATATTAGAAAAATCAATCAAATCAAAATCTTCAAAAATCGTTTAGAATCTACTGGAATTCCTCAGAATGTCTTTTAAATTAAATCCCCAAATAATATCTTTTTACATCTTCTGGAATTTCTAGAATCAGCAAGAATATTTTCATGAGAGTCTCTTAAATATCAAAAATTTTACAAATTCCTAGCAGTAAGGGTGGTCCAATTTGGACACCTTTGATAGGAAACATCATGTTAACTAAGCGTTAATTTCAATTGAAACCCTTCATTTTGAATATTAGTGTTGGATACTGCTGTTAGTTCTTTGTGGACTGATTATACGGAATGTTGGGCATCAATTTATATAAAACTAATATCAATGATCATAGAACCAAAAAATTATTGTATATGCTGACTCTTTTAGGATTACAAAATGTATGGGAAGTATATGATAATAACGTTAATTTTCAACACTGATTACAAATTATGTTTGTAGCGCCAAATTTTTGCAACCAGCGGAGATAGTAGAAATCTATTAAATTCTTCAAACTCATACCGCAATTTCCTGACACGATTTGTTGTGGAATCCATTTTCCACAACAAATCGTGTCAATTAATGAATTATTACTTGCTCTTGCAGACTTTCCACTTTAACCATTTTTATTGTTCTTTTTTGATACTTCGCAACTCTTTCTGATTTAATACCACGATCATTGAATTTTAGATTTGCGAAGTCTAACAAATATCCATTTAATGAAATTGCAGTCATACAAATGGCCGAATCAAATGTAAATATATAGCCACAAAAATGGTTTATATACGCCACTTCATTATTTACAGTTGGTTTTCCAATAAGAAAAATTGGATTTTCCGACGAAAATTTGTATAGTCGTAAATTGACTTTAATTTGTCACCATCATCATAGTTTTTTTCCGACTTTTTTGTGGTAGAAATTTTCAAAGTGTTTCATCAGGTGAGTCAGCCGCACACTTAAACGTCTATATCGCCGAATCCATCAGTGTAACCACAAATGAAACTTACATTTTTTTTTTAAAGGATACTATGAGCGTCTTTACCTAAATTTAAATTCATCTTGAATAAATAATGTAAGTATATTATTAGTTAATTAATTGTTTTTTAATTGATTAAACGGGGTTGTGTTTCTAATTTATAATCATCGCATCAATTTGATTTTTAAAAAAATTGCCAAATAATGATTGCAAATTGAACAACTTAACTATTGCCAAATTAACAAAAAAGTGTCTGGAAACTTTTCTTGAAGAACAACTTTTATCTATCGTAACAATGTATTATATGATAATAATTGTAGAATGTTAGTAAAAGTGGACTTCTGAAGCTTCGTTAACAAAAATGTATGGAAAGTTTCACTAAAATAAAATTATCACATTGTTGAAAAACCCTCAAAGGTTATTTATTTGCCAATCAGTACGCGATACATTAATGAAATTTTATTGAAAATTACTGATGAAAGTAGAGAAGCCATCAACTTCCGCAGTGAATTGATAACGGTTCGATTACATTTAAGAAAAGCGTAGAAAAAAAAAATCGTATTTTCATTTAAGCATAATTCATTTAGTGCATCTTTAGATAACAACGAAAATAACAACAACTTCCCAACACAAAAAACCTTTAAAAATACGTCGTCAAAGGAGAATAGTTTGAATGTAAAAAACCAGTCAGACAGCTAACAGTGCATAATAAAAACTTTTTCTACTGACGTTTCATAATAGCAACTTTTCGATTGTCATTTCAGTTTTGAAACGACATTCTTTTAGGCACTGAGTGCGTGAAAGTTACTTTTAAGCACTCAGTGCGTAAAAGTGACTTTTGATTGCGTAAAAGTGACTTATGAGTGCGTAAAAGTAATTTTTAAGCATTAGTGCCTAAAAGTGTCATTCATTATTCAGAAATAAAAAACACACTAAATACATATTTGAATTTTGTTTTGTATTTATTATGAATATTGAAAATGGAATTACTGAATCGAATGTTTGGGTTACTCAAAACAGAACTTTGTGTTATTACCTACTTTCTAGGATTTTAATTATTGATGTCAAATTTTGAAAAGAAAATCGCATGAAAAGTGTCAGGTGTCAAGTAAAAACAGGTAACAAAGATTTTGGGTGTAATCGACTTATTCACATGAAATAAAATTGTGTTTTTTTATTATAAAATGCCAGTAGAAAAAATCTTGTATACAATACGTTACGAAACGATGTCTTTTAGTGACTCGACGTGTTGTCCAACTCGGCTTTGCCTCGTTGGACAATTTTCACGTCGCGTGCCTAAAAGACGCTCATTTCGTAACTTATTGTATAAATAGCTATTTTAACTTCGTTAAGATTCAAGTTAAAAGTTTAGTGATAGTAGCGTGTCACCATATCAATAAAGAAAATATTTATTCAATTTTGAATCAACATTAAACTTCAAGTGGGTTTTAGTATAAGAAGAATTATTATTATATCTATTAGATGTAATTTCAAGAAAAGAAGAAAAACAAAAAAAAAAGACGAAAATGAGTAGTAATATTTTAAAAGTTAGCGAAAATGTTATATATAATAATTCAATTGTAAGTTATTAATTGGATACACATCAATAACAATGATGAAATCCGAATTCCAATACAAACACAGGACATTTATACATTACCTAGTCAAAGTTTTTTGTATATTGAGGGTAAACTATTATTGTCTGATAACATAACGTTAAGAGAGAGAAATATGCTGCACAATAAACTTTTACAGATTTCACATTCCTCGTACTCAAGTTTGGTAATTTCTTTCGAAACCACATTACGATAAACTTCATAAGAGCAAGTTATTTTGTGCTTCTCTTTGAAATCAGAATACATCATCTTTATAGTTATGTCACTTGGCAGATACCTTTTGTTTGGTGCATGTTCTCTGCGGTAATGAGAGACTGCAGGCTGAAATGACTCCACATGTGCCCTAATTAGATTCTATCAATCTATGGTGTTTCGGAATGTTTGCCTTCCCTACTGTTTCTATGGCAAATAGTATTGTTTAGTTCGGCTGAAAAACAGTCTTGAATTATACGATCGTTATTTTTTATATATCCCAGAGTTGACAGGAAGAAAATTTTGCACACTTGAACTCTATCTCCACTCTCATTCTTGAAAAAATATTGAAGTGACTTCTTTCGTTTAGAATTTTCCAAAACTCTATGTCGTTTAACATCAGTGGATATAATTGCACTCTTTCGGTGAATGTCATTTGCCAATATTGTTTTTGTGCAACCATCCGCAAAATGAGCTTTCGCGGCCGCCACACAGTCCGCGAAATTCAATTTCGCGGCCGTTGCCCTTGGTGACGGCCGCGAAACTATAAATCAAAATTTGACACTTTGACAATAACAATAAGTAAATTTTATTTCCAAATTCTTCAGAACAACATAAATTATTTAGGATAAATATTAACACTTACATGACAGTTTGCATTATTACTAATATTTACTCCTGAAGCTGAAGCAACTAATAATCCAGTGTTTTTGAATTGAACTCTCAAAACTTCCCATTTCGGCATTAAATTAGCCAATATGCTTTCAGACACCATTTTGACGTTTTGTTTGTCACACCAATTTTTTGAACTCGCAGTAACAATTTTCATATTGCCGCTTAGTTTTCCAGGTATTAACTCAGAAATAGCTGATTGAACCATATTTTTTAGCTCTGGAGGAGTGCAAGAGAGTGAAACATCTGTATCGCTGTCGGATATTTTCACGATTTTTTGAGAACCGTCAAAATTTTTTGTGTATTTGTTTACTTGCAAAATATGTCATCCATGACATCCATGGAAACGCTGTGCCACCATAGCCACCAGGTTATACATCAAACTGGTAATTAGTTCCACATGTTTGTTGAAAGGAGTACATTTTTTCTATAATTCCACATAATTTTCATGGTTGCACAAAAAATAGTGTGTATACCATGACCGCGAAACTTTTTAGCGTCCTCGAGATTATCTTGCCTCGGCCGCAAGCGGCCTCAGCGATAACTTTTCTCTACGTACGCTAAAAGGCACTTCGCGGCCTTGGTATACAAATAACTATTATTAATTATCTTTCTTTGGTAAATGGTGAAGAAAAAATTACATTTCTTTTTGCAAGTTGTCTTACAGCTAGGTATTATCGTATACTTCATGATTCTTTCTTGTAGTTTTATTTTCTTCCGTTCTGCTAGCGATTTTTCGAAACGTTTCCGTTTCCTATCTTCACCCTTTTCGGTATATTCATCACTTGTTTTGGTTTTTTGAATTTTCGGGATATAATTTCTCATCACGGCTAAGGGAATGTCACTATCTGAAGAATCTGAGATGTCTTTTTCATCAACAGTGAAGTTAGGATCTTTGAGAGAATCATCTGAGCTGTAATCCAATGGGTGATCATGATTATCTGAGGTTGAAGGTCCTGCAACAACTGACAAATAGTCATTATTTTTGGAAGAACATGCTTGTTCAAGATCTTCACAAATAAGTTGGGGTGACTGAAAATTATCTGTAGGAGGCTGTTGATTATCGAATGAGATGGGTAGTTGTTCATCTGTAAAAAGACGGTAGGAAATTCATACGTTTCAATGCTGTACGTGCTCAAGTGAAAATTGTCAGCATCATCCTGGGTATCAATTTGTGGAGGCTCCTGAAACGTCACTACTGGTCTCAATTCTGTATATTCAGTTGTCTTTTGATATACTTTTTCATTTGCATCGTCTTGGACTAGAAAATTATCAGTTTTTTTAGGCTCCTCAAAAGCTACTGGAAGACTCAATTCTGCATATTCGGTTGGCTTTTGAACCACTATCACATTTTCATCATCATGAATTGGAATTTGAGGGTTCTTCAGAAGCTACTAGTGGCCTCAATTTTGTGTCTTCAGTTGCGCCTTCAACTAGTTCTTTATTTAGCTTACTCTTGGCAACAACTGAATCCACCATTTTTCTGCCTCTACTACCAGGCATCATGATATTTAGAACAATGCGCATTTTTTAACCAACTTCAGTTATTCGAGAAACAAAAAACATGCATGAACGTCGTCCACATTGGCCCGTAAAAAAAGAACACTTAAGATAACTGACCAGGTAGTTATTGTCAGAGTTTACATAAAATAAACGCAACTCAGTTTGTAGTTGGCTAACTAAGTAACAACACAAATTTATCAAAGCAATAATTATGAGTTCACCTCCACTTTTACATATGGACAATATTGTAACTGAAACGAGTTTGACCTAATCTAAAAAAAAACACTAGCAATTGTGTACTTACACTGCATGGATTTAGATGGCTTTCTCTTAGTGCCCGTCTTTTTGTGTATTTCTTCAGTTATTTGTCCAGCCACAGCTTGAGGCTGAGGCTCCTCTATCTCTACAATCTCTGGCAAGATTTCTGTCACTGGTTCGTCCTCGGGATCCTCTTGAGTGAGACTGCCATCTAATTCAACTATGAATTTTTCTTAAAAATATAAAATTCAGTATAAGGGTTTGACAGCTATTTGCACGGCTACAACTTAAGGGATATTTAATCTAAGTAGAGCTTTGAATGTGACTCTTGTCAAAATAAAACTCACAGTCAAAGCTCCACTTAGCTCAAGCATCCCCTAAGTTATAGTCATGAGGCACTTTATTACCAACAGATTCCTGGATTTTTCCATAGTTACAAAGTATAGTCATGAGCACAAAAAATGGGACACCCGATTTTTCGTATTGTAAAATGAGCTCACCAGCTACACCACAGCTACACATTCAACAGTGATTGTCATATTTGACAAAAAATCCCTTGTACAGAAAAGACTGATTTACCCAAAATAGCGGAAAATTACAAGAACCATCAGTCGGGTGTCCCATTTTGTATGCTCACAACTGTGCCTACTTAACGATAGCATAGCCAATTTTCATAAAATTATGTGAACAAGTATAACTCACCTGTGGTACCCAACTCCACCAACTCTGGTATACCAGCCATTCCAGAACAGGATGTATATAACCCCGATATCTCAGCACACTTTTTTTCTGTATCACTTAGGGGTCTCAGCCCCCGTATTTTTGATTTAATGTGTGATTTCATTTCTATGAATGCCTAAAATAAACCCAAACTTATTAATTTATTGCTAGATTTATTTTTTGGCTTGTAATTGCACCTTTTTCCATCCTTCTGGAGTTTTTTCTACACCCCCCAATGAATTGAGGGATTCGGTTATGGTCTTCCATGCCTCTTTTTTCATGTCAGGGGTCCCCTTTCCCCACCTGATACAATCACAATCGGCACTTAAATCGATCAGCGTCTTGTATTGCCCAGCAGTGGCTTCTTTTGGTGGCATCTTTGGACTTTGGTAAATGAAATCTAAAATGTGAATTTATGTGACCACAAAGCACGCAACTAACGAAAGCTGATTTAGGTAAAGCTACCAGCAGAACAATGGATAAATTTATATAACTGCGCTTATATGAAACTTACCTTTGGTCAATCCTTTAATCTAGTTTATCTGCAACTCATATGGAAACATCAACATCAACAAAAAATACGCGGCAAATACCGAATAACAATTAAATTAGAGGTTATTTTCGGTAAATCTTCTTCCTTCTTTTTTGTTGAATACTCTCTGCAACGCTGTTGCCAAGTCTAATATTGACATTAATTTCAATCAATTTTCATTTCAACAAAATTATTTCAAGTGTAGTTACCGCATGCCAATTTTTTCCAATATTGAAATGAAAGTCAATAATTATTGGAATTATTTCAATATTGGTTTTAAGTCAAGTGTCCTTACTGCATAGCCCTGAATGTCATTTTGACTTTAACCTATATTTAATTTTGAGAAATACTTTATGATCAATAGGGCAAGTACACGATCTGACATTTTGACACTAATGACAGTCGCCTTGAGGTAAAACAAAGATATAATTTAGAGTGTTTTTTAAGTTTTTAGTTAGATTTTTTATATAAATACCTTTTGTGTGCTCCAGAAGTGTCTTGGACACGCCTAGAGTTTGTTTAGTTGTTATTTGTGGCAGTATAGCGCAAGGGATACAATATCCTCCCATAGGTTTCCATTAATTTTAAATGACAATGGGAGGTTTGATTTGTTAGCTCAAGAAAGAAGAGAAAAATTGATTAATGTTCTTAAAAGAAAAGATCTGACAGAAAAATAGATTGAATATAGAGAAACTACACTTATATATTTTTTCTTGTGACACTTGATTTTGATATTTGTTGGAAAAAAACTCAATTTATTCCATTATAGAAAAACCTAGCAAACTTTTAGATAAAAGACCACATGGACTGGAACACAAACACTCCGCTCTAACTTTTTTAAAACAAAATAACACCAAAACTTGTAAAAAAGCTGTGAAAAACGCATAAAACATAACCGGCCTAATCTAAACGAATGTAAATAAATGATTTGGACATGGACTGTTATATAGGGCATTATAACAGCAAAAAATCACATGCAGTGTTTGAAACTTCAAAATAGCTATTTATGCCACAAGTGTGTAAAATGAACCTTTTTTCATGAATGTGAATTTTGACGACAATCACACGAGTGCTTTCCAACATATTATGTGTAAGTTAGTGCTTTACGCACGGTAATAGAAAAAAATGTTTTTCTACTACAGTGCCTAAAGTACTTTACGCACTGCTCAAAAAACTTAAAATTAAATTTCACGCAGTAGTGCGTAAATTAATTCACTTTACCATTAGTGCGTGAGGAATACAAAAAAAGTATTAGTTTCTTCGCAAAAATACCCACAAGTATGAAATTTGATATTATAAAAGCCTTTGCTGGCCTTTTTTTGCAATAAAAATGTGATTTCACTTTACATTTTAGGTTGTGAAGTAAGTTGCCTTAGACACTACGGCGTAAAATAGTGGGATATTTTTTTGAAATGTTATGGCTCTATATTGTGGGTAGTAGAAAAAAAAATGATGCAACAGGTGTGTAAAGCACCTTTTCTCACTCATATGATTGTTGCACCACCTGAGATTCGCGTGTCAAAATTCACATTTGTGAAAAAAAGTTCACTTCACACATTTGTTGCATAAATAGCTACTGGCATGTTGTTTAAATTATTTTGGATCTTCAAATTATTTGATAGCTATGTGATATGCATATTAAAAATTAAAAATTGGTTGCAGCTGTCTAATATCTAAATGCAGTGTCCATATGGGCAACACGCAAAGGACGGACACTTCTTACGGAATTTCTGAACTAAATTCTAGTATGTTATAGATCTCCCCTTTCTGATCAATAACTCTCTTGGGCACGCACAACTCAATCCTATAACTAGTTTTTGAGATACAGGTAGTTTAATGTCCAAGAAATGCACACATTTTATATGCATTTATATCTGATTTATATCTATCTGTCACCTAATAATAACAGGATGGACAGGTATCCTCACGCTCAGGTGATAGTTAGATATAAATGCATAAAAAATGTGTGCATTCCTTGGACATTAAACTACCTGTATCTCAAAAACTAGTCATAGGATGGAGTTGTGCTCATAAGAGTTATTGATCAGAAAGGTGAGATCTTATCTATATATATAAAACACAGTTGTGTTGGTATTTGAGCACTTATAACTCGAGAACGGCTGGACTGATTTTTATGATTTTTGCTTTATTGGATTTGTCTTTGTCCATCCTAGAATAATAAATCGAAAAAATCTAAAAAAAAAAACAAAAATTTTTTTATCTATTTTACTTATTTATGAAAAAAACTCACTAAGCCCGCATACGGCGCCATCTCTTATAACCAATACCAAGTTTACCGTCACATTTTCATTGCAAACCATGTGGATTTTATTGTCACACACTTTGCACAAAAACAATTTGAGGAAAGCACTTTATTTTTAATTGTTCTTCACAGTAAAAATGTCGAAAAATAAATAGAATGACAATGTTTTAATTGTGTATTTTACTTTGTTGTTGGTTCGTTCATTCCGAAAGAGCGCGAACTGGTCTACCTGTCATTTCTTGACGCTTGACCATTGACGTTCTGTGGCTAAGTTCCGTTTCTCCTCTTAGGCATCCCTTGACAGCCGTGTTCCGTGCCGACTGCTCGGAGTGCTCCGTCCGGCTGGTGTCGAGTGGCAGTGAGCCAAGTTATGAGTCCGCCACAACCATTTTGTATACGGCGCCATATATGATAAGTACCTAGACCGAAGCTCGCCGTTGCGCGGTAATTTCATTGCAGATACAGTAGAACAGAATACTGCTAAGGAACTGGAGCTATTCTGAACAGAACTATTCCACTATTCCGATCAGATAAAGTGGTGCAGAAAGAGTAGATCAGATAGAATAGTGCAGATACAGTGGAACAAATGGAGTATTGCAGTGCAGATAAAATGAAACAGGGCTGCGCTGGAGATTTTTTTTGTTTTCTTTACATTTTTTGAACATTCTTGTGCCTGAGTTTATTTATTTGGTGGTACACTTTATAAGAATAATGCCCACAAGATGCCTAAAAAGGGATGATGTAAAATTTTAATTTTAGGTGACTTCTGATCCAGAGAGTAAAAATTAATTTGCTTCGATCAAAGCCAAATTCACCATCGAAAAAAACTGAATTTAATTCAGTTAATAGATACGTTAACACAACATTTAATAGGTATTTAATAATTCAGAGGAGGTACGAAGTTCGCCGGGTCAGCTAGTAACACAATAAAATTTGTTTAAATTTGCCCGCGGTAAGAAATCCCATAGGAAGTGTGCGGGGTCCTTGTCATTATTTATATTTAAAGGCAAAACAATTGCTTTATTTAAAATGTTACTAGCATGAACAGTCACTACATCCGAACCTAAGGAAATCTGAAAGAAAGATAATATGACTGAACTGTCGGCAGGATATGAAATAAAAGGTTTTATGTCTTTAAATTTAAAAGCGTGAATAAAAATGATTTCAGATTCGACATATATTGATTTGATTTCTGCAATCACATTATCTAAGAGAAAAACGTAGTTGTCCCCTTTTTTTGTTGATATGGTCAGACCATTAAAATTTATTTTTTTCTAAAATACTTTGTTATCAGTAGTTTCCCTCAGAGGTTGACCAATAACTGAAATACCATGGGCATTTGGGCGTTCGAAAATCGTTTTTCCTTCAAATATTCTTTTCACTACTTGTTCAAAATTCTGATTTGATTTTCTTAGCAAACGTTTCAAAAATCCAAGATAATTCTGAAAAACAAAACAATTGACCAGATTTAAAGATCCAAACAATTTCGCATCATCAGCTAGGTAAATAACTGAATGTACATTCTATATACAAATTTCTTTCCCATATATTTGAATGGCATTTGCTACACATAATCTTAATAGTTGACCAGCATACTCATTATATTTAATATTTAATGCCGGAGACAGTAGAATTGTTATTCCAAATCTTAGTAACATAAAGTTGCAAAAATGATGGTAAGGTAAAACATCAACTAAAAGAGAGCTAACATACAATAAAAAATGTTGAAATTCTACTGCCTTCCAGTGCTCCAGTTGCCATATTAATCTTGGTTTTCTATCGATTTCAACTGGTCAATAATGTTGTTTATTGATATGTTTCCATTTCTCCAAGTTAAAAAAAGTTTTCTGAAAACCCCTAGACAAATACTATGCATGTAGTCTATTGGAAACGAAGATACTAAACCAATTTCCAATTCAAGTAATGGAGATGCTACCTTATGATATTCATTATATTTTCCACTATAAAAGTCTTCATGGGTTCGAAGTTCTGCACTGATATTAGGAAAAACTACTTTGTTTTGCATATAGTCACCTTTCACACAACATTTGTTACATCCATAATATGCATTGTGACCCTTCACACCTTTAACAAAAGATCTTACAGGAGTCTTACAACAAAAAGATCTGCAAATAATTTTAAGTGTCGCTTTTTCTGAAACTTTGAGGCCATTACGTAAATAGGGTTCATTTATGAAGTTTGAAAAAAAATCATTCAATGGAGGTTTTGAGGGGCCACAAAATATTGCAACTGGAAAGGGTTGATCTCTTGAAAAGTTTGTAACCTTACACAATATTGGCCAAAACGATTCCGGGGTACTTTTATGAATCGGAATCCCATCTAGATTAAAATCTAAACAAAAAGCGTCACCATTTCTAGATTTATGTCTTTCATAACATTTCAGAAGTCCTGTGGAAAGACCAAAATAATAAAATTTTCCGCTACCCATGGGTTGAATATTTAATTTCCTTGGGGTTTTCAGTAATGTCCGTGCATCTTTCGGCAGTTTTGAAGTATCAGGATTAGTTATCAGCCAAAAGAGTAAATCACTTAATGCGGTATAAGTAACATTGTGTTTTAAATCCCAATTTCTTAAAAAATCAGAAGAGCTACTTTTGTTGTGGTACTCTTCAATAAATGAAATATCTGATAGTTCCGAGTTTGAACTTTCATTTACAAAATTATTTGGTGAATAATTGTCATTTGAACATTCAGCAGAATGTAAATTTGAACTAAAGTCCTCTATGGTATTTATAGGATCCTCATTACCAAAAACTAGGGGAACACTATCAATAAAATTACTGCTGGTCGATGGAGATTAACTGATAAAGTGCCTTGCGTTGGTAGGTTTGAACTAAAGTCCTCTGTGTAATTTGAAGGATTCTCTGAGGGATTCTCGTTATTGAAAATTAGGGGAACACTATTATTAAAATTACTGCTGGTCGATAGAGTATTCGAATCATTACCTGCTGGAGTGTCTTTTCTTATATTATGTGCAGTAATATTATACTCTGTTTGAACATCTTTAACAAATTTTTCGGCTCTAACTTAAAGGATTCTTCTTTGTTGACAATTACTTTTTAATTTTAAATTACCCGACATCATTAAATATTTTGGCGTTTCCGATTGGTAGATTCAGTGCGCACTGAGTGTATTTGCATCCTTTTAATCGACCTATAGAAGAAAAAGACAGAAGAAAAAATTGCACTAGTTCCGCACTGGATCTACCAATCGGAAACGCCATTAGATTATCTAAAATACTCACAATTCAACAGGTTGTAGCTCGTGAAACATTTTCTCACTGTAAATTAAAAAAAAAAAATGTATTAAAGACATTCAGTTAATGGAAAAGTCAAGCTTTTATGTTATATTTCAAGGAGGTGTTTTTGCTATGGATCACCTAATCGACTTTCTCAACTAGTTTGAAAAAATCCAGACTGTTACAATACGTCACTATTTGAAGACTTGAAATAAATAATGGGCTATGTGCCATACTGATTTTCACTTTAAAATGAGCAAAGTGCCATTATTTTAAAAAGTTTGAAAGAAAAAATACACCCTTTTTTTCACAAATTTTTACTTACGGCCAGTTCCATAATCACGAAAAAGCCTACTTTATTCTTAAAAAGCACCTTCAACTTCTAAAATCTGTTCCATAAACAGTTTTTGAAGGAGCCATTACGAAAAAGTGACGTTCACCTTAAAGTGCCGAGCTTGGCCAATAACGCGATGAAAAGAGTACTTTATTTGGCAATTTAACCTATAAGGTGCGAAATTACAGGTTCTGTGTGTTGGTTATTTCATGTCAGAATCTAAATGACAAATTTCGACCCATTCAGATGAAGAGGATATAGGTTAAATTATACTAAGCGATACAGGATGAGAGTGGATTGTTTTGAAAAATATGACGACATAGAATTCTTTGACTGATTTAGGTTAACGAAGCTGACTGTTGGAGCCCTACTGGATGAAAAAGCCCATACAAGCTTCCTTTTTTTTTTTAATTGTCTCTCTGCTCCCATTGATCGACATTTCTTACAACCGTTCCGCTAACACTGTAAGCTAGAGCTACCCGTTCCCAAACCTTCTCCTTAGATTTCATGCATAGGATAAAACCAAATTGAAACTACAAACCTTGTCAGCATTTGATAATTTATTTGTTTCTTTATTTTCAATAATTTCAAGTTTGCGCTCTTCATAAATAGCTTCCAATAAACGAATTTAATCTTCCTTTGAAAAAGCGGCACTTTTCTTTCTTTCATTTTGTACTCTGCACTTATTTCAATCATTTTTGAAATGGCTAGAATTTTGTCAACACACGTCAAAACCAACTTCAGCTCTCTAATTTCAGTGTTGCCAAATTGGGAAAACTGATAATTACTCCTTTTTGTAGACGATTTGAAATGTTTTATGGAACACAACTGACTTTAAGGGCTGCATAAAGTATGCTTTAACGAAAAGTATTCTTTTTTTAAAGCCGACCTAACATCATATTTATGGAACTGGCCGTTATAAACATACATAAAAATATAATACTTATTCAGTTTGATTTTTTATGAACGAACGAGGTCTTCAAAAAACCCCTTATTCTCTTCCTTCACATAAGGAATAATTTTTTTTTAGTTTTCTTTTTTTTTTCTTTGCTGATTTTACTTTGACATTAGTGGTGGTAAAGTCATATTTTGAATAATTTCCGGTGAAATATTTTTCTTGAAAACTTTCGTAGACTTCCAAGCTTCCATGTCGTTTAGAGTTTCACGGGTTTGAATGTTTCCAAGTCAATTTTTTTTTTTATAAGGATCCACTTAGCTTTGGAAATTTGTAGGTTTGTGGTAATAAGACTTGTTTCAGCCGATTTTTTAAAGTCAAAAAAATCATCGGGCTGCATGAGTGTGACCATAATAGATATTTATGATATAAGTGCTAAAAGTGACAATTTATTTTGTGAAAAGGGAAGTTTGGGACACGACGCCGAAGGCGGAGTGTTCCATCCCTTTGAACAAAATAAAATCACTTTTAGCACGAATATCATACACTATTTTTTCTACAAACGCACTAAAAGTGATTACTTTTAGCACTAGTGCTAAAAGTAATCACTTTTAGCACCAGTGTCATAAAATGGCATTTTAGACACTGACAGCATCCGTTAAAAATGACACTTTTAGTGACGTTTGTAGAAAAAAGGATTTTTGGGAGTAGCAGTGACCATCAGTTTTACCAAATCCATTGGAACTTCGCATTTCTCCAATCGTTTCCTTTCCTCAATCTGGGCAAAGTCTCTATCACAACATCATTTTATTTTTGTTTTGTGCTATGCAGTTATCACTCCATATCGTCAACTTTTTTTTTATAAAATAATTTACATGTGACAGCTTTAAAGAGACATGACGCAATTTCATTTCCTATTTCCTACTCTTCCCGAAGTCCCTTCGTGCCATAAAAACATGTAGCCTTTATTGTTATCTCCAACGTGAATGCCCAAATTGTAACATGATAGTTGCCTCAAGTAGAACATCTCACCATGTGTCAGAGCAGGAAGCGAAAGAACTTGCTCTAGATCTATAGCAATCGTGCTAGTTTCACTGGTAGGATGTTGTGATTTTTCATGATCCATCTTCATTACTTCTCTTGCCTTTTCAGCCTTGCGATGATGGACGTCCAGTTTAACTTTAGCTTCTTTATTATTAGGTTCACTTTTTGTTTTATTATGTAGAAGATCACAAGTGCCACATGTATCAGAACGTGAGTGATGGAAGCTTATATTTGGAAAAGACCTTTTGAAAGTTTGGTAATAATATCGATAAGTAATGTTTGAATTTGGATATCTTTCTTGAAATGTTCGAAACAATCGGCTTAGATTTAAATCCTGACTTAAGTAGTCTTTGTCGCTTTTGGATCTACTATAATGACTTTTTTCTTTGGGAAAAGAATTGACATGTTCAACCTTTCATCATCTTTAGAAAACTTTCTATATTTTTTTTTATTGCCCCTCCTCTCAGTAAAAGTAAACTCTCCGCTTTTCTTTGCTTTTACAATAGTTTCAATTTTCCGTTATTCCATAAACATTGAGAAAAGTTTTTTTACATACTTGTACAATATCTCCTTGGCCATTAGGTATTGTAAAGTATATTGTTGCCTGTCGTCTACTATTCGCAGGATCTTCATAGTTCCCATTCCTCCTTCGTTTTATTCCGGTAACAGAAATTAGCCCCATCAGGTAAGAATTTTGTTTAACATTATCCTCAAGTTTGTAAAATTCCTTAAATAGGATTTTTTTTTTGTTGATGCGAAATTTTTTTACAATCAAATTTGCATTTGCACAAAACCTAAAAGTAACACACACATTTTACCATTACAAAATATCATAATAAGGTTGCTAACTTACCTCGGCACTAGGTTCTTCCTTCGCTTGCACTTCAGCTGGAATTTATGTATTTTTTACCACCACTTCTTCGCTTTGGCCTTTCTTCCTGCACTGCTGCCTCGCCTTTTTTTCGTCTACGACTTGGTAAATCATTAACTTCCATTTTTATCACAAAATTAAACAAGAATAATAATCTTTTTCAATCTCAACCGACAACGCTAACAGGAGTCAAGTAATGAAGTACAATGGCACTTAGCCCGAGATTTACCGATTAGAACCTGGCATTACAGTGCCTGGCATTTGACACGTGAGTTATCTTCTGGTGAAAAATTAAAGCATTTGCCGGTGCATGTTTGCATTGCCCGTTATTTAGATTAAAGGCGATGGCACATATCCCACTTTAAACGAATAAAACCAATTTTAGAATTTTTGGTACTAAGCCCGTTATTTATTTCAAGTCTTCATTTTGTGAACCGAACAAAAGGGTTTCAAAATTAAGCTAACCTACCCCCAATTCTTAACAAAATACTTCGATTTGATTCAACAAATCTATTTGCTGTGTTTTGTTTATGTGGTTTGGTTGATGGTTTGTAATTTTGTGTAAGTAAGTATGTTATTTAAAAAGCAGTTCTAGACCAGGATCATAATCTTTATTCTTTTTGTATACAATTTGATATATTAAAAAACAATAAACACATTAGTGTGCGTGTGTTTATTACCTGCTACTACTCTCCATACTATATCTCTATGCAAGCAAGACAGGAAAAGAAGCAAGAAGTAACAACTAACAACAATCACAACCCACAATAATAAACAATTAGGCAATTCAAACCACGAGACACTCAAGATGGCGTGGCGACCACACATGGACCAAAAAACACAAAAAAATATCTAGTTTCTGCCCGATTTAATATTTTAAGTACCTAGTCAACAAATATCGTATTAAATAATCAAAATTAAAGTTACAAGCAAAATAATTTAAAATACACATAAAATATTCAAAACAAGCTTACTTGGACGCCACGCCATATTGAATTTTCCTTTTTGATAGATGGATTAAATTGCCTAATTTAGAAAATTGAGGTTAGAATCTTGTATCTGTTTTAATTTGGCGCCGTTTTTTGACAGTCTACTTCTATTGAAAAGGGTTGCGCTCTATTCTCATCAAATTTTACCGATGGATCCACCATTCTATGTCGGTCATTGTCATTTTCCATTCACTAAACAAAGATAGCGTCCTCGGTGAAGTCACCGATTAGAATGAAAAATTAAAAACGAGGCGAACGAGGGGATGCGTCCGAGAACGAAAACGTATGGAAAACGTTTTGAACCAGAATCTAGTATGACGTCATCAATTAAATAAAAAAATGCCTCCTTTCTTCTTGGATTGATAGGATGGGTTATGGGTTGGGACGGTTGGGTAGATATATTCTGTAGGCAAGAAGAAGACAACATCTTCCTATTCTTCTCCACTACTTTCTTCAGTATCTAAATTGCGCATTATGTGATTTCAAACTTCGTTAAGTCAATTTTAGATGATTTTATACTTGAATTGCGTTCGTCATCGACATTTGGAACATAATCCGGATCTTCATCGAATAATACAGCAGTTTTTTTTTCTTGGTTGGACTTTCTATATCGAGAACTTCTTCAGGTAATTCTACACAAATTCTGTCACCACCTTGACTCTCCACTGTAGTAGTACCTTCTTGATTTTGTAAAAAAATATTGATAATAAATTTTTATAGTTACATTCAAAAGGTAAGTTACTCCTACCTGCATCAACAATGTCTTCTGTTGGTTCTTCCATGGCAACAACTGTAATTAGAGGGTAATCAGTATCTAGCTCATTAGTTTGCAATATTGTAGCTGGTGGATTGCCTACTGCATCTTCGGTATTATTATACAATAATATTCCATCGAATTCGATATTTGAATTATTAAATTCTTCATCAGTTGTAGAAACTAAAGCAGTAGTAGCACTAGATGAGTTCAATGAAAAAAGAATATCATTATTTAAAACAATCTCATCGTTATACGAGTTGCAGCTTAAAATGGTAAATTCTTCGGTACTATTAGTATTTCCATTGGGTTGATTGAGAGGCACAGCAGTGAAAATGCCATGAGTCGATTGCATTTCAGAATTTGAGATATTAATTAGTTCAAGGGTCTCAGATGAATTTACAAAATTTTCGTCAGTTTCTATAATTGCCACGACATTGTGGTTTGATTTTTTATTGAGAGGTGCTGCAGTGAAAATGCTATCAGTCGAGTGCATTTCAGAATTTGGAATATCATTTAGTTCAAGGGTCTCAGATGAATCTACAAGGTTCTTGTCAGTTTCGGCAGTTTTTATAATTACCACGTCCTTGTGGATTGATTGAGCCAATGTTTTTTCTCCATTGTCTAGATTATTTTGCATGTGTTAGGGCCTCTAACTGAGGTGTCAACATTTAATTTAGGGATAGATCACTGGATCATAAAGGGGATGGGAATGTCTGCTAAATAATGCACTCACACTTCCAGTTTTATATCTCTCTATTGTTGCCAAAATAATCGTTTAATAAAGTAACAAATACTGTAACCACATTCAAGTACTTTTAATTATTCACAGGTTAGTTAACAAGTCGCATTTGAGTTATTCGAGAACATTCACTAATCGGTATAAATTCACTAGTTGCTAAGTGCTCAATAGTCAATTTAACAATAATTGCCAGTATTAGCGGAACGCTAATATTTTAATTGAGAGCACAAGATAAAGTTTATTCTTAATAGAAATCTTCGGGAGTTGAGAGTTTTTATATTTTTAGAGAGCCCTTAAAAAAGGGGAGCGTGATTAACTCAATGTTTTACGCGATATTATATCACTTGAGTTTTCAAGCCAGCAGCCAGAGAGATAAAAAAATAAGTCTTTTTATTTAGAGAGCGAGAGAGAGAGACTGCACAAGGGTGCAACTAGAGAGAATAATTAAATAATTAGAGAAAAGTGAGCAGGTTCAAACTTGTATAGAGCTAGACGTTTTTACGCACTATTTACTGCTAGTGAAACCACACTACTAAAATCACAAATCAAACTGCGAAGTGAAAAAGAGAGGGAATGCATTTTTTCCCCTAGCGACAAACAACCAGACTGGGTCGATGCGTACAGCGTGGTACGGCGCCATTTTGCAAGTTTTTCACGGCGGGGGGCTTTTTTGCAACGTTGCCACTGTGATCATAAAAAATAAATATGATTGTTTGGCTGTTTCCACAACATTCTGCCCCGGGTTGAAGTTTCCAACTTCAAGAAATTAAAAGAGATTACAAGAGGAGAATTATGAGAGTTATTAAAAAAAATACATTACGAAACTTAAGAATTAAGAAGTTGAGACAATGAGGAAGATTATAATATATCTAATACTCAGGGTTATTATGTGGGGGCAATAAGTTAACACTTTCTGGTAAGGAACAAACCTTTGCTATTGAACGTGTGAAACTTCCATCAGATGTTTTAAGCTTAACAATTCTAACTTTTCCATCTGTGCCTTTGACAGTTTCAGTGACTCTGGCCAATGGCCACTTGAGCGGAGGCATATTATCTTCCTTAAGAAGAACGAGGTCGTTTTCACATATATTTCTTGAGGGCTGGAGCCATTTGGGGCGATTTTGAAGTCTATTTAAATATTCAATGCTCCAGCGCTTCCAAAACCTTTGTTGAATCTGAGAGCACCTTTTCCAGGAGTTAAGTCTATTTTCGGGAGTATGAGTGATGTCTCTGTCAGGATATGGAGTCAGTGCCGAACCTATAAGGAAGTGTCCAGGGGTTAGCGATTCGAAATCCGAAGGGTCGCTAGATAAAGCGCATAAAGGCCGAGAATTTAATATTGCCTCAATTTGGCATAGAATTGTGTCAAATTCTTCGAAAATGCAGTGATTATTTCCTACAAGGCGGTTTTGCATTATTAATGTCACTTTTCGTTGTTCGGGTAAATTTATTTCTTTTTGAGGTGTGTCGTAATCAGATAAATTTAAATCAAATTTGTTTAAAAATTTGGGGCCATGGAACCAAAATCCAGAGTCCAAAACTTTTGGGAGAATAACCCTCGAGACAACATGTCTGCGGGATTTTCTGAAGATTTTATATATCGCCAATGACAGTTTGACGTTAATTCTTGAACTCGCGAGACTCTATGAGAAACAAAAACAGTCCATCTGCTGGCATGACTTTTGCACCAAGAAAGCGCAATTTGAGAATCGGACCATAAATGTACTTTAGAGAGGCTTATTTTCTTTTTGAAAACAAAATCAATCTTTTGGAGGAGTTCGGCTAAAAGAACCATGGCACAGAGTTCGAGCCTTGGTAGAGAAATGCTTTTAATCGGAGCGACTCTGGACTTTGATGAAATTAAGTCACAAGAAATAGTCTGATCAGAGTAGACAGTTCGGAGATAGAGACAGGCACCGTATGCTGCTAAACTAGCATCAGCGAATCCATGAATATCCACAGATTCAATCTTTTTATGGGAGAACATATTTCGAGGAACTTTCAAACTTTTTAACAGAGTTACACTTTTCAAAAATGAAGTCCATTTTCCTAAAATAGTTTCATCCGTTATGATAGTGTCCCAATCAAGTTTTTTGCACCAGATTATTTGCATCAATATTTTTCCCTCAACAATAACTGGATTTACTAAACCCAAGGGATCAAAACACTGAGAAATTGAAGAAAGAATTTTTCGCTTAGTTGGGAACTTATTGTCTAAAATTTCGGGTGTTGATATACAAAAAACATCTTCCATAGGGTGCCATTTCAGACCTAAAATCTTGTTAGGAAATTTATCAATATTCATGTCATATTCGTGAATTGTTTCGTGTGAAATTTTGTTTAAGAAGTCTCTAGAATTTGAACACCATTTGTGTAAATTAAAACCACACGGATTCAAGAGGAAGTTCAGTTCATTATAAAGAACTTTCAATTCGTTGTAATCATCACAACCTGTCAAAATATCGTCCATATAACATTGTGTCAAAATGGAATCTTTTGCTCTTGGGTATTTATCAGAATCGTCGGCAATTTGTTTTAATACACGTGTGGCAACATAGGGAGCGAAATTAGTGCCATATGTTACTGTCGATAATTCTATACATGCTAAAGGGTTATCAGGACTCTCCCGCCATAAGATATTTTGAAGAAATCTATGATTGGGGTTTATTTTTATCTGGCGGTACATTTTTTGCACATCAGCCACCAGTGCAAACCTAAAGAGTCTAAATCTGGCTAAAATATCGTACAGATCGGGTTGTACTTGGAAACCTTTGAATGTGATGTCATTTAGGGCATAACCTGTAGAGCTCTTTGCCGAAGCATCGAAAACTACACGTAACTTTGTAGTGACACTTGATTCTTTTATGACAAATAGGTGGGGAATAAAATACTTGTTTTCATCTATACTATATCCATGGAACCAAAAAAGCGGGCCAAAACACTTTCCGTGCGTGATCGAAGCATGATCGGCACGTGGCTTTGCATCTATGGGCTAAAATAAACAAACCCCTCACGCTGGCCAATCGGATTTACCTGCAATCTGTAGGGGACTTCCAAGGTAGGGGAACTTATTGCTTTTGGCCTAATCGTTACAGGGTCGGAATGGTCATTTACGTTTTAACGATCGGTGGTGTTACATTTTACCGGATATTTAGTAGTGATTTTTTTTATTAGTTTTAAAGTTTTAAATTATTAAAATGTCGGATGAAGAAGCTGCTAATATGTGTTTCAACACTCTACCTCAAAAGAGACCAAAAAAAGTGCCTTTCAATGGTAATGAAAAAAATTTAATTATGAACATTTACAAAAATGAAGTCGAAGCAAATCCCGAATTGTTAGTTGATCAAATCGTGCGAAAAGTAGGAAACATTGCTGGAGTGTCTCCAAGTGGTGTTTATGCCGTTATGAGAGAATCTAAACAAAAGCAATTATTTTCGGATTCAAAGCCATACCCCTTACGAAAGAAAATTATTGACAAGGTAGACGATTTTGATAAAAACGCTATCAGAAGGAAAGTACATCAATTTTTTTTCCGGAACCAAATGCCAACAATAGATTCAATTCTCAAAGATGTAAATGATGATCCTGATCTACCAGATTTCAAAAGGTCGACATTCCACAAGTTGTTGAAAGAATTAAGTTTTAAATTTAAAAAAGAGGGAGAAATAGTTTGTTGCTCGAGAAACCAGAAATTGTATTGTGGAGACGAGATTATTTAACGAAAATACGGGCCTATAGAAGAGAAAATAGGAAAATTTACTACCTGGATGAAACGTGGGTGAACGCAGGCCACACTAAGTCTAAAATTTGGGTTGATGAATCCGTAGGTTCTTCAAGGCAAGCCTTCTTAGATGGCCTCTCAACTGGGTTAAAGAACCCATCAGGTAAGACCTTATTAAACTCTTAACCTTAACGTGTGTGTCTGTGAACAAGATAATTTGCATTTGGATTAGGTATTGATTTAAAATTTGGTATAGTCTATTTCATTGCTGTTGATAGCAAAAATCGAGGATTAGGGCCATAAAGTAATTGTATTCTACTTGGTTTACAATAACTTTATGGCCTAAACCTCGATTTGTAGGTACCAATACCTATTAGTAAGCGATGGTCAAAAAGGGTCTAAAATTACTTGTTAGCTATGAAAAATAGACCCACAGTATGTATCTACCTGTGTATTTTCCAAGAAAGTTTATTATTAATTATTTTCTGTATTCATTAAAATCGTAGAGAATTGGAAGGGTTTCATCTTACCGTTCGATCAATTAGTTAAAATTCAGGTAACAACGAAAATGTGTTGGTATAGTATGAAATTTTAAGTATGCCTTTGGTAACTGGTTTTCGATTATTTGTGTTTGGTTGGACACGATTAAATCAAAAATTTTTTTTGTCTGCCTCGCAGCACATTTTATTCAGGAAATAGTCCAAAAAATATGTTTTATGCATGTAAATATTCTGTTTCAACTAAAACAAAATAAATCTTGTTTCAGGAAAAGGAAAAAGGTTGATAGTGTGTCACATAGGAAGCGAAACCGGGTTTGTACCCGACGCCTTGTGGGCCTTTGAGTCGAAGAAAACGGGCGACTATCATGAGGAAATGGACGGCAAATCGTTTGAAAATTGGTTTACCAACATAATTCCAAACCTAGAAGAAAATTGTGTAATTGTTTTAGACAACGCCCCATACCATTCAAGAAAAGCTGAACAAATTCCAACTACAGCCACAAAAAAAGCCCTAATTCAAGACTGGTTGCGTT